CTGATGAAGTGATGATGAACTGATGGATCTGATCAAACACATGGACAGTCATCACATCACAAGGTGTTTTCTCCCAGAATCTGTTCAGTGAACTGTTATCTGACCACACATCCTGTCTGCATTGTTCTCCAAACTAAGTTAGCATAGCCCCGATCAACCAAACTCCATTCAGAAAACAAACATTTCAAAAGTTATTTGCTTGTGGTCTTGCAGACAGACCCGACTAAATAACTTGAGCTTATGTAGTTATTTCAGCATCTTTTGATCCGTTTATTGCAATTAAATCACAGCAAATTGTGTTTACTCTGTAAATATGGTGAACAGTGAAATACCTCAGTCAGTAACCAAACATGATCTGTCCTACAGTATGTTGTTTGCTGTTGACATTTACACACTTATATAAGTTTGGACACTATATGACATGTGTAACACAATGACAGTAGTCTCTGTTGTCAGCTGATCATCTTTCCAAAGCTGCATGTAAACAGTCAGTGAGACAGTTTCTCTGCTTCAGCTTACCTGAGACAGTGAGAGAGAGCAGACGGCTCTCAGAGGAGAAGTTATGAGAGAAAACATAGACGTGATAAACACAGCTGTAGTTTCCTTGGTGGGCGGGCTCTGCAGCAGGAAACAGGAAGTGGGCAGAGTGATTGACAGCTGGCTGGGTGTAGTTGTGCATTGTGTTGGAGGAGGTGAAGGTGAGCTGGAAGGAGCCTCCTGGGTACTGTGGCTGGATGGAGCAGCTGATGGTGAAGTTGGAGCCCCTGAGCACCCGAAACTCCTGCTGCTGGGCCTCAGAGACCCCGTACGTGGAGGAGGACACAGAGATGTTGGGCCGAACCAGCAGGTCTGTAAATGAGATGAGATGATGAAAGGTCGCATTGATGATGTGAATGTCACTGGACTGATATCAGTAAGAGACATGGAGCAGACAGACAGACAGACAGACAGACAGACAGACAGACAGAGACAAGCCCACTTCTGACTTCAGGATGTCATGTTCATGTCATATATGATGTAAGATGATGTCACTGATGGGCTTACCTGAACAAATGAGATTCAGGATGTAGGAAGAGGAAACTGATATAGCACACTCCCTCAGAGAAGATCCAGACTGAACACAGTCAGAGTTGATCCTCCACACAGGTCTGTCTGAGGACTCCTTTGTGTGTTCTACAGAAACAGCAGAACCACAATCCAGATTTCTACAGACAACATTTGCTCCCTTAAGGTTCCAGTCTGAGCCAATCACTGGTCTCCTGTCTGCTTTATGTCTCACCTCCAGTGTTCCTGCACAGCACACAAAGACGGTTCTTTACTTCTCTTTTCTTTCTCTATTTACCTGTTGAGTTGGGTGTTCCTTCAGTCTGCAGTGCTGAGGAGAAAATCAGAAAATACTCATCAGTATGAAGCAGCATTTTGAAAAGAGGACAGTCGATCCAAGTTTCTTGGAGCTCAGAAACATCTCAGTGAACTCTCTCTGGAACCGTTTTACCAGTTTACTATAGTTGAGATGAACATGTGAATGAACACGAGTCAGCAGACTGGTTTACACTGAGTTAAACTCAACACCTGCACACCAGGGGTGGACTGGCCATCTGGCATACCGGGTATCGTCCCAGTGGGCCGTTGACCCAATGTGGGCCGGTCCGGTCCGCTATGTTTTTTTTATTTTATTCCTATCAATCATCTGTGAATCACTTTGAGCTGCACTAAACTGTATGAATGGTGCTATACTTATAAAGTTAGAGCTCCACATCCTCCAACTTACCAGCTGTTGATGGTCATTTTGGTCGTAGGTAATAATTTATTTAATTTTAATTGCACCAACACAGTAGTTGTCTTTCTTTGTATGGGTCCATTAAAGGTGATGTTGACATCCTGCAGTTAAACTCTCTGAAGTGCATTTCTGTGAAACACTGTCCCTCTGATAAATGTTCATTTGATCAGAATCTGCTGACAGATTACAGATTACAGGACTGTGGTTCCGTTAGCACGCTGAGCTCTTACTATCACATTAATGCTGTCAGCGTCAGGACATGTGACATGTGTTCACTAATTACCTGATATTTATTAGTTCTGATGATTTAGTGAAGTTGACCTTTGACCCCACAGACGCACAAACAAAAACAAAACAAACGTCAATATCTCAGCAACAACTTCCCAGTGACAGTACGCACACACAGCTACACACACCTTCTGACACCACTGAATTATTGCAGAGAGATAATTACTAAAAAACAATCATTGACTAAAAAGTTCATTAAAAACTGGGTTTGATTTGATGAAAATCTGAAGGATTAAAACTTTACTGTGTACAATTTTACAGTGTTTTCCTTTTTTTTCTTCCTTTCATACATTAATGTGTTTTTTTTTTTGTGTGTGTGTGTGTGTGTGTGTGTGTGTGTGTGTGTGCGTGTGAGACAGAGACACACATATTTCACCATCTTTAAAGCAGAGTCCTACCTGAGCTCCACAGCAACAGCAACAGCACCAACAGGTGATCCATGTCCAGGTAGAGCGTCTCTCTGCCCGTCTGTCTGCTGTCTGCTCTGATGTCTCACATGTGCTGTCCTCAGTGTCTGTCTGCGTACAGGAAGAGGTGGAGCTTTACTGGAGTATATCTGACTGACTCTGTCACAGTAGTTATAAAACAGACACAGTTAGAGTCTTTAAACTGATTTAAACTGAATTAAACTGAATTAAACTGATTTAAACTGATTTAAACTGATTTAAACTGATTTAAACTGTGTGTGTTTCCTGATGGTTCTCTTTGTTAAATAAAGTTTTAGTCCATTAAAGGTGATGTTGACAGTGTGTGGTCTGCAGTTAACTCTTAAATGGACAATCCTCTATAAATGTTTTGGACTTATAATTAATTGCTATTTTCTAATGTATGTAGGCTGAAATTATATAATTATGACCTTTATTTTCCAGTTTACAGACTGTATCTCCCGACATACATTGCCCATTGAGGGTATAAATTTAACATTTTTCCCTCTTGCGTAACCCTTTCAGTCCCGCCCACTGTTTAACTGCGTACAGGAACCGATCGCTCTATCTGGTTGCCAATCAGCAGATCAATATCTATGGTTTTTCTGAGCAGAATGAGCCATCACTCTTCCTGTGTGTTGCTATGGTGATCCAAACCACATGTGAGCAGTTTGCTTGCCTGTTAGTACACATCAGCCATTTTGGATTTAGTGGTCATTCATGGTGATTTGCACACGTTGTATTTGAACCAACTCCTCCTATTTGAATTGATCGGATACACTTCAGATTTGGACACAGCCATCCAAACACATTCACCATTAAAAGTTGTGCTATTTACGACATCCCGTTGAACGGCGTGCCCGTGGCCGTGGCGTGGAATTTCAAGGACTCGCCATGAAAGAGGGATTCGTCATAACTTCTGAGTACCTGATCTGATCTCAATGAAACTTCATGTCTGATAAGAGTCCCGCCCTGAACACGTCTATGTGATAATATTCAGTAATAGTGAGAGCGCCACTACACTTTTATGTATCTCTTCCAGCAGATTGACCAGATCCAGCTGAAGTTCTGTCATTTATCATAGAAACATCTGAACTAAACTTCTACTCCTCTCGTCTCTCTAACCCACAATGCATTGCTCACAGAGACAATGAATGTTAATGATCCTGTGGACACGAACCTTCAGACAGGAACCGACTCAGCAGGCGACCAGTCGGTGAGAGAGAGACAGATAATGTAACAATATAACAGAAATATAACAGATAATAACAGATAATAACATAATAATATAATATAGTGATAATAATATAGTGATAATAATATAATGTGATAATAATGTGATTATAATATAGTGATAATAATATAATATAGTGATAATAATATAATATAGTGATAATAATATAATATAGTGATAATAATATAATAATGTGATAATAATATAGTGATAATAATATAATAATGTGATAATAATATAATAATATAATAATAATATAATAATGTGATAATAATATAATATAGTGATAATAATATAATATAGTGATAATAATATAATATGATAATAATATAATAATGTGATAATAATATAATATAGTGATAATAATATAATAATGTGATAATAATATAATATAGTGATAATAATATAATAATGTGATAATAATATAGTGATAATAATATAATATGATAATAATATAATATGATAATATAATAATGTGATAATAATATAGTGATAATAATATAATATAGTGATAATATAATAATGTGATAATAATATAATATAGTGATAATATAATATAGTGATAATAATATAATAATATGATAATAATATAATATGATAATAATATAATAATGTGATAATAATATAGTGATAATAATATAATATAGTGATAATATAATAATGTGATAATAATATAATATAGTGATAATATAATATAGTGATAACAATAATATAATATGATAATAACGACCCCAGCAGACAACAGTGAGTGACAGATTTTTATTTGAATTTCAATGTCAGACGATTTAAACAGAAACATAAAATAACATCTCTTGTTGTTATTGATACACATTGAATATAATATGAAATACAGTCAGTTTACTCACTGACAGAAAGGTTCATTTTGTCGTTTCTATCAGTGACTGAACTGATTATTTTACGGATATTCAGGATTTTAATGAATTCTGAGCAGATTATTTCCTGTGAATATCGAGAGATGAGTTTTCCTGATATTTTAAGGAACTTTTAACTTTTAAGGCGCCACAGCGCAGGCCGAACGCTGATTACTTCCAGGATATTTGCTCATTTTAATCAATTTCCAGGTGTTTACATGACGAGCCTGTACTATTCCAGGTTTTCCAGGACGTCTCTTCGGTCTGTCGGAGCCCTAAAAGTCACAAAGCCGCAGATTATTGGCTCCTACTGATCAGACCAACTCTTCACCTCCTGGGTCCAGGTCCCGGCTCAGGACCAGCGGACCAACACCTGGTCTCCGTCCTCTATGGAGTAAAACTGTAGAGTCTTCAGGTCGCTGTCGATCTCAAACTCCGTCCCAACTTTCTGGAGAGAAAAGAGCTCGACTGTGTTAATGTGGAGCTCAGTGCTGGAGCTGGCCTCTAGTGGACATTAGAGGAACTGCGGTCCGCCTCTAGTGGCCATTAGAGGAACTGCGGTCCGCCTCTAGTGGCCATTAGAGGAACTGCAGTCCGCCTCTAGTGGCCATTAGAGGAACTGCACTCTGCGTTGTACCTTGAGGCTGGCGTAGGTGAGCTTCAGATCTGCAGCAGGAACCTTCAGCAGTCGGTACAGGAGTCCCTTCACCTTCTGGACCTCCATGGAGGCTGTGGAACAAAACACAGTTACACTCATCCGGATTCTTTTTCAGCCGGAAACAGCAGAGAGAGGAGGAAGTTTACCTGGAAGTTTCTTCTCAATCTTCCGCTCGCCGTCGTCTGGACACACAAACGTGATCTCTGGCGAGGAGAGAAGATCGGATCAGAACCGGCTTACTGCATCTATTTTAAAATTTTCTTAAACCTCTAGAAAGAGAGAGAGAGAGAGAGAGAGACAGAGAGAGAGAGACAGAGAGAGAGAGAGAGAGACAGAGAGAGAGAGAGACAGAGAGAGAGACAGAGAGAGAGAGAGAGAGAGAGAGAGATTATCGGCCGTCGGACAGTTGGGCGAGGTCGGTGACTCGAGTCGGTTCGGTGTGTCACGTGCCGTTGTCAGTCGGACTCGGTCTAGAGTGATCCGTCATTTCCAGTTTTCATTTTTTGGGGGCGCCAACACAGATTAGCGCCGCCTGCTGTTATGGGGATGTATTACGCCTCGCGCATGCGCAGAACGTACGCTCCAGTCGGCGTCAGTTTGGTGTGCACTTTTTTGACTGACTTGGGGAGACGGGAGCCGACTGATCAGACCGACTGCTTTTCTGCCGACGGTCGGCAGTCGGGTTGGTGTGTCCTGGCCTTTACAGGTTGAGAGGACCTCAGTATTTGGCAGACACTGACCTCTGTGATGTTGTTGTGGTCGAGGTTGAGCTTCCTCAGTGCCGGGAACATGGCTGTGTGAGATCCTACAGAGGGAACGTAAGACCAACTGTAAATATTAAGGCAGAGAGCAGTTAAATATTTACAACAGAGTGTTAGGGCCAGACTAAGAGAAACAATTAATTTTTTGTGGGGGAATTACGAGAAAAAGTTGTTACATTAGGAGAATAAAGTCGTAATATTACGAGAATAAAGTTGACTGTACGGTACGACTGAGACAAACAGCGGCTGCTGGGCTCAGGCTGAGGCTGCTGTTTGGTTGAGCTGCTCACGTCAGATCAGGAGGATGCTGTCCAGGCTTCAGTCCATCTTGAACAATGTCTCTCACCCTCTCTACGACACACTGGCCCAGCAGAGGAGCACCTTCAGCAGAAGACTCCTCTCACCCAGATGCACCACAGAGCGCCACAGGAAATCATTCCTGCCTGTGGTCATCAATCTCTACAACGCCTCCCTCAAGAGTCAGACACCCCCCCCCCCCCTCTGTAATTCTGACTCAAAACATAGACAATCATTCACTTTTTTCACATTAATACTGTACATTTGATCTTGTATATATATTTATATATATAACTATATATATGTAGTTATATATATAAATTTATATTTTTTGTGCTGAATGTTGTATATATATATATATATATATATATATATGTTGTTTGTATAATATGTCGTTTGTATATCTGAATAATTTCCCCCTGGGATTATTAAAGTATTTCTGATTCTGATAACTATCGAAGCTTTTTTCTCATTAAAACGACTTTTTTTTTCGTATTATTACGACTTTATTCTCGTAACATTGCAACTTTTTTCTTGTAATTTCCCAAATTTTACTTATTTTTTATTTATTTTTTTCCTTTTAGTATGGCCCTAATACTCCGTAGTAAATATTAAAATGTGACTTTAGGTTAGTTTTACCGGGAGCGGCGTCATCGAACCGAAGCTCAGACAGTCCGGTCCTCGACAAGTCCAGATCCTCCAGTCTGCAGTCAGAGAACAGAGTTTATTTCAGGAGCTTCAGACGGTCGACTGAACCGACAAGGAGAGTCTCAGCCGACCCGCTTTCCATCGGTCGGACAGTCGCAGAACAACAACAACAACAACAACAACAACAACAAACACAGAGACCATCGAGAAGAGGAGCCAGTTTACAGCTAGTTTTAGTGAAGTTGGAGAAGTTGGAGACTTTGATGTTACATTATTACAATGTTCAGTCTCTGTGCTGGTTGTTCAAAACCAGAACCAGAACCGCTGTTTCTGAATGTAAACTGAGATAAACTGCAGGTTCCATAAGCAGCTGTAGTTCAGGGTCTGTCAGCGAACGGACGACAGCAGAGTTCCTGTTTCTCTTCTGCAGCCAGTTGAGGTTGCAGCTGTTGAGGACGAGGACTCTGAGGCTGCACCGATGGAAGAGTCTCCAAACTGTCCACACACAGAACGTATTATATTATTGTAACGCTGGTTACTCTTAGCGTTAACAATAGATTAACTACCTTTTGGGTCGTGGGTGAAGCAAGAGCACGGGGACAACTTCATCTTGGTTAGTCGATCCACTTTAATGTCCGTTTTTAACAGTAGGACAACTGATCACTCTTAACATCATATCACTCTGCCAATCTTAACCATTGGTAACATTCCAGGTACACGCACCTTATGTAGTTCCTCATCTACAGTGCAGAACAGAATACAAATATGCTTATATATGTAATTACCCTTAATTCATTTATGCAAATTCAATAAACATAGTAAAGTAATTCACAAAATAAATCTCATCTTACATTCTTCCCTCTCTTCAGATGAAATGTCCTCATTTCAAAAGTTATGAAAGATAAATGTCATCTCACAACCAAAATAGTAAATAAACACTTAAGTACTACTACTGAGCATTCCAACCTGTGGGTAAATAAGGAAATAGTAAAACAACATAATAGTCACAAGAATAGATATAACCATTCAAATTATATCAGCTATAAACGCCAGAAAACTACCATATGCTAGAACATTTCACTTTTTTTTTTTTTTTTTTTTTACACATTCAGTAAAACACAACTTCAAACCTGTGAAATACCAGAATAATGAAACTACAGTTTACAGCATAGGTAACGTACTAACATCCAACATATAGGGTATTTATTCGTTCTTCTTTTAAACATCTGCAAATGTTAAGCATCAAACCTAATCAGCAAATTAATCAATAAATGTCCCAATAAATGGTCATACACAGTCCATATCTGTTATATCTGGGAAAGGGTTTGCTCACAGCATGAGCCGCTGCGGTCTCCGAACAACCCGTCCCGAACAAGTGCTGGGTAAGTCAGTGGAATATGTCCCAACAGGCACTGCAAGAGCAGCATCAGTCCGTTGGTTATGCTGTGGCTGGACATGTGAGACCCGTCCTGATGGTCCCCGCAATAGGGGAACAGAGGGGCAGGCTGGGGCAGAAGCCTGTCTAGTGTCAGAAAATAAGGTGAGTATCCCATGCTAGAATGTGGAGTAGAGTTAAAGGAGAGAACCACAGCTGGCAAATAGTGGTCCCATTCACCACCATGATGATGAATGAGCTTAGCCAATTGCTCTTTTAGAGTCCTGTTAAATCTCTCAACCATCCCGTTTCCACGTGGGGGGTAAGGTGAGGTCCTTTTCTTTTTGATGTTCAGTCTCTGACATATTGTGTGAACGATTTCCGATTCATATTGTCGTCCCTGATCTGAAAACAGTTCTTCTGGAACACCATGTTCAGGAATATATCTTTCACAAAGTAGTTGTGCTACTGTAGTTGCTTTCTGATCCAACATAGGAAACGCATTAACATACTTTGTAAAATGATCTTGTACTACAAGCACATATCTATGTCCACTTGAGGTGAGTGGGAGCTCAGTAATATCTGTGCACACAAACTGGAATGGTCTCTCTGCTTCTATAGATTGCAGAGGAGCTCTGTGCTGTGGAACAGGTTTTCTGTAAACTTCACATGTATGACACATAGTACAAAAGTTATCAATATCAGTTCTCATGTTTGGCCAACAGTGCATAGACAGGGCTTTCTTGAATGTGCGCTCAGCACTGTAATGACCAGAACAGGGATTGCCATGAAGAATGCTCATAGTCTCTGTGATTAGTGTGGTGGGAATCAGTACTTGATACACAACTGGCTGTCCTGGTGCGGTGTGAGCCTTTCGACAGAGTAAGTCATTACACAGCACCAGTTTAGGGAATTGCCACCAGAGTTTTCTTTGAACTTTCCCTTTTACATGTCTGAGGTAAGGGCGTTTGTTTTCCTGTACCCATCCATACACTTCTGAGAGAATGGGGTCAGACAGTTGTTCAGCTACAATGTCATTTCCTTGACTAGAAAGTGTGTGTTGCAACAATTCCATACCTGTGTTGGTTGTCTGAACAGCAGTAGTGTCTCTTTCTGAACAGCAAACCTGAGCTGTTTCGCTGGCCACCAAAGAAGGCTGCACTGGCGTGACATAGCGTCAGCTATGTTTCCGTAGACTGAGGAGTGGACGATGATCAGTAACGATTGTAAATGGATTACAACTCAAATAGTGTCTGAAGTGTCTGACAGACCAGACAATGGCATAAAGTTCTTTGTCATATGTGGACCACTTTTTCTCTGTGCGGGTCAGAACATGACTAGCATAAGCTATAACCCGTTCCTTTCCATTTTGAACCTGAGAAAGCACCGCACCAACTGCATAGTTAGAGGCATCCGTACTTAGAATGAATGGCTGATGAAAGTTTGGAAATGCCATTATTGGAGGGGAGCAGAGTGCATCTTTTAATGTCTGAAATGCAGTCGAGCACTCTTCAGTCCATTCAAACGACACATGTTTTTGTGTGAGTCTGTGAAGAGGATGAGTGATGAATGCATACTTGTGCACAAAACGTCTGTAATAAGAGCACAATCCCAGAAATGCTCGTACATCAGTAGGTGATCTTGGGACAGGCCACTCAATGTGTCCCATATACTTGACTGCAGATTTGCAAAAGTCACATTTCTTTGAATTTAGTTTCAAACCTGCTTGTCTGAATCGTGTAAGAATGTCTGTCAGGTTTTGGATATGATCATCAAAGTCTCGTCCCATGCAAATTATGTCATCAAGATAAATGACACATGTAGTCCAGTGGAGACCTCTCAAAACAAGTTCCATTAGTCTCTGAAAAGTTGGTGGTGAGTTTTTCAGACCCATAGGCATCACTTTTAATTGGTAGAGACCATCGCCTGTTGTAAATGCAGTTTTGGGTCTGTCTGCAAGATCCATTTCAACTTGCCAGTATCCACTTGACATGTCCATGGTGGAAAAAAACTGAGAGCCAGATAATGCATCCAAACTATCATCAACTCTCGGAAGAGGTTGTGCATCAGTGATGGTAACTGAGT